TCTCAATAAAATGCAAAATACTCACTAAATTCCTCAATTTTTAGATTCATAGAAAAATGTAACTTGCTTTTCACACGTTATTTACAATAATAAAGATGCAGTTAAGCTTATTACGTTTTTGATTTTTCACTTCCAGTTTCAAGTTGCTTTGTTTATCTATAGTTTATACCGAAGTTTTGAATCGCACTTGACAAAAAATGGTGACGTCATAACCATGTTTACATACTCTGACACAAACACTGAAACTCTGAAATACTCTGAAACAGAACACGCGTAGTATCCAAGTTATTTTATAAATGCATTTCTATATGCATTTCTATATCATTTCTCTGTACATAACCTTCAGATTCATGCTGTTTATTTTTACATAAAATGATGCACCACATTGAAGGAAGTGCTTTGTCAAGGCCTGAAAATTGAAAATGCATAAGATGAGAAATTGACATACTTCTATTCTTAAAAAAGAGCATATAACAATATCACCAACCCATGCAAAACATTTTCATATTCAATTCACAAAGTATATAAAGAATGTTTGTCAAAGTTCTCTTTTCCTAGTATCTTATTGGTCGAGAATGTAGTACCACATGAGATTCACAAAATTGTACTGTAACTGTCCACCAGCGGTCAATAATATGTGGACTGTCAATAAGTACAAAGTTGCAGAAAAACAATCTTCAGTGCCATAMAAATGTCACATTTACGGACGGTGCATTCYAAAATTGTTATTTAATTTCGATTACAAATAGCTAAGTTACATTTATAGTTTCATTTTATTATTGCAGATTGATTTTAGTGACATTTTACTATTTGTATTATGTATCATTTTCCATTTTTCAGTCATTTTATCAAAATCTTTAATGAAAACAMTTCATTTATTCACTTGTTTTGTGCTCTTTGACACTTGATAATATATATGATAATAAAGCACTTATTTACTGGAACCAAGCGAAACAGTATGTTTTGTGGTCCCTCRGCCTCTGATGTTTCCCTCGGCTTTGCTTCGGGAAATATCAGYGGTCTCTGGACCAGTAAAAAACACTGTTTTCCTCGGTTCCAGTAAATAAGTGTTAAATGTGAATTTCAAAGCATTCATAGAGATTCATACTCATCAGGCATGTCGGAATTATGCGCGAAAAAAATCAAAATTACGCGGAATTTTTTCCCCGTATTATGCGGAGAAAAGAGTGAATTATGCGGAAAATTATGCGGGATGATGTCATCACAGGAACGTAAACTTTGGGAAATTTTACATTTATTTAGGTTATTGTGTTTGTTTTTCATGCAAAACTCCGTTTTTATCTTAGTTACGAAGTACAGAAGGCAGTACCAACAGAGGGAAAGATCTTTTTAGACTTTTTCGTTCTCGCACGCTTTACATCTCACTTGTATCATACGCCATATTGGAATTTGTCACGTGATCTAGTAAGGCACAGGGTGACCAGTAATGCTAGTGCCCAGACTCTTTTCTGATGAAATTTTGAACGCCTGGTACATTTGTGAAGCCCACAAAAACAAAACTATATTCGGAAAATTATAAGCATGTTTGGGAGCGTTTTTTGATCAAAAAAACAGTCAATGGACCACAAAAAACATTAGTAGAAGGCAAGTCATCTTAAAAAATGGTATAACATGGGAAAAAAACACGAATTATGCGNTCTCTCACAAGATGGATACGTTTACTGGCTTTGCTCACGATGTAAGATATGTGGGAGTTCCATTTTAGATCGTCTTGGACTATAACACCCAGCAACTTGAATTCCTCGACTCTCTCCAGTTCCACATTGTTTATACGTAGCGGTGGTGGTTGGTTGCCCGATTTCTTAAAAGAGATCCACATTTCCTTTGTTTTCTTAGCATTGAGTTCCATTTTGTTTTCAGTGGCCCAGCTTTCCAAGTGGTGCATTGCATGGTGCATATGGGTTTCTGTGTCGACTGGCACTAGCTGATACATCGTGCAGTCATCAGCATATTTGCACGTGGTAATTTGTGAATCCCCTTGAATGCCCACCTCGATGTCATTAATATGGACGTTGAAAAGTGTAGGAGATAGTACACCGCCTTGTGGGACACCTGCTACAACATGACCTATTCTGGATGTCACTCCTGGTAGCTTTACTTGTAATGTTCTGTTTGATAGAAAACTCTGTGTCCACCTCCAGAAGTTCCGACTAACGCCCATGTCAGCAAGCTTAGTCAGCAGAATGGCGTGATCGACAAGGTCGAAGGCTTTCCGGAAGTCCACAAACACGATGTGTACACCTTCATTCTTTACGCCAGTATCTGTAGCATTATACCAGTCCTGTGTAGTACTCGCAAGAGCTGTTACAGTGGATCTTTCTTGAGTAAATGCATGTTGGTTGTTTGAGATGGTAAGATCGTGCTTGTTGAAGTTCATTTGAAACCGTTCTAACAATTTTGCAACATGGGGCAGCACAGATATTTGTCTGAAGTCGTTGTTCGTATCTGCTGGGTTACTTACTTTTGGTACTGGGCTTACCAAGGCGTGCTTGTACAATGAAGGGTATTTGCATTGTTGAATACTGGCACATATGATATCGTGAATAGCACCAGCTAGTTCTTCATGGAAGCGCTTAAGAATCCAGGCCGGTACTCCATCAGCTCCAGTGGCTTTCTTTGGGTTAATTGTTTTAAGAHCATTCTTAACTTGACCAATATTAGGCATAGAAGAAGGACGATCTTCGAGCTTGTCAGCGAGATCATTAACCAACAAAGCAGTAGGCCCACGGTCATTCCAAGGTTCAGTGAAAGCATCGAGTAGGTGGTCGGCCAACTGCGCTAACTGTTCTTTGGTTGGAGCAGTTGGGGTATTAGAGCACTGTTGGGCTCCCGCAAGAGCAGGGACTTTTTAAGGGACTTTTTAAGGATTAATTTTCAATTTTCAAGGAAACCAATTACAAAGAGAAAGATACAGTTAATAAACTTACTAGTCCTGTGTCTTACCAAACAGAACAAAAGCATTGCATTCAACTTTTTGCAAAACAGTACAACAGACATTGCCAAAAGGATTGAAAAATTATCAATATATTTGGTTCAAAGATTGGCAAAATTGATCTCTAAAATATTACTTCACAACAACCAAGACTGATTCATCATTTTCAAGGACCTTTCCTCCAAATTCAAGGACTTTTCAAAGACTTTTCAAGGAAAATTTGCATTCAAGGACTTTTCAAGGACCTAGCTCCAAATTCAACGACTTTTCAAGACTGTACGAACCCTGCTTGAGCTGATGAGATTTTATTTTTAATTTTTTCAAATTGCTCTAAATTCGATAGGCTTTTTGCATAATCAATGTTTTATGATAGATATATCAAGCAAATTTATATAGATAAATGGCATCACGATTAATTCTCACGCAGTAAACAATTTTACTTACCTTATATTTAAGCTGAAGTTTACAGCGATTTTCTCAAGAGTAAACAACATGGTGCGACGAGTTCAGGTGTTTTCGCATACTCGTCCCCAGTGCACCTCGGTCGTCCCTTCTCCCTTCGTTAGCACTGGTAACAGCCGTTTGAGGCTCGATGCTCATTGGCTAGAAAGTTCGAGCATGCGCAATTTTCGCCGTACATTCAACCGTCTCTCCTCGCTCTTGATTGGTCGAATTATAAGGATGCTCGGAGCTTTTTAGATGGAAACCTAGTGCGCATAAAGCCAAATAAACAAAGCTGACCTTTTCCTAACGGGCTCAGGTCGAATTTCAAAATGGCGGATGAGTCGTGTAGTCTGTCTGAAGCTGTTAAGAAAGCCAAATTACGACTAAATATTTATTTTAACCTTCGTGCGGAACAGGAAAATGTAATCAGAGTTATTGCTCACGAAAAAAAA